ATGTTAGGTTGCATGCTAACTACATAACGTACTGAAACCAATGAACAATGAGTACAATGCACCATCAAACACTAATACTACTTGAGAAATACAAGAATTTACTGCTGCTTGAAAGATATTTCTCCAGATGATTTCTCGACAACACTCAATAAGGAAGAAAATACTCTTATATACACTTTTTTTTCACATTTTCTTTTCAACCATACTTCTTTTCTCTTTTTTTTTCCTTCTTTTTTTTCTTTTTTAGCTTACAAATTTGGCTTGAACCGAAACAAGTTAGATCATGCAACTTTTGCTCCTTATCTTGACACTGGTAAAAAAAATATGGACGATAATATTTGAAACTGGCCTCAGGGTTAATAAATGTGTTCAATCCAAGAAAAAGAATGGGAAATTAGACTCAAATATGGATCTCTAAAGGAAAATATAACAAGGTAGGCTCTTTAGAAGTCTCAAATTGTGGGTAAGCCTAAATTTCCCTTATCATATTAAGACACCAATTCAAACAAGTGGTCACAAAATGCATTTACCAGCAAGTTCTATAATAGATATGCCAAGTTTGATCACACACAAGAATAAAAATGAGCAAGATGTAATGGATTGCTCTAAGGCTCAAACGGTAACTAGGTTAAGGGTATGTATAAACTGTACTATCTAGTCAAATGCATTTTTCAACCAAGAAATAATGAGATGCCATCATGTAATTTATAAAACAAAATCCATCATGATTCTCTCCTTCATGCATAAGAAATCAAACTCAAGATGCGTTCATAACTTACGAAGTATTCAAGGGTATCAATCAAGATTCAAATTTTCGAACGGAGAAATCAGTACATATGAATCATGATACATACTGAGTCAAAAGCATGAAAAAGATGACAAAAATCTTCACTCCCAAACTTAACGATTACATTAAAAGGTAGAAATAGTACAACAAACATACAACGTAATATCCGTCAATATATTAAGCAGTCCTTAATCAATCCAAAATATAGCCAATCCCCGGCAACGACGCCAAAAACTTGTAGCAGAAATTGCTTACCGCAAGTGTATGGGTGAAGCTTTAATAAAGTGGTAAGTCAATACTGATATCGTCCTCTGGATTGTGTTTCTAGATCACTCAAGTACCACAAATACAATTGCTCAATTTTATTTAGAGAATCAAAATCAAATAGGAGAATATAATTAAAGAAAATAAACATAAAAACAATGGGGGAAAGGTCCTACAGAATTGATTTCACCTATTGAATCTATGAATCAACTACTTAATTACTCAAGATTGGACAAATTATTAATTATATAGGCCAAGAACTCTCAAATCTCAATTGCCTCCCTCGAGCGCAAGCTAATTCTCCTTACGAATTAAGAAACCAATATCCCTATCTAGTTTCTATAACAAGTAAAGGCTTTATTGAACAAGTCTTTTAACGACCTCTAAAGAACTTCTAAATCTCCCGATCTTAAAATCCCTTTAGTTATGCATCCCAGTTCTAACTCTAAACCACCTTTACTGAGCGTAAGATTTCAAGTGTAAAATCAATCAATCTATGGCCAGTAGATTCAAGGCATTAAGCATAAAAAAGCATAAATAGAACATTCATAAACATTCAACCAAGAAAACTAAACAATCAATGCCTAAAGTTCAATGGCTACATCAATCCCGAAGATGAGAGGTTTAGCTTCTCATATTCAGTGGAAAACAATAAAATCACAATGAGAAGTCCATAACAAAACTAGAAAAATCAAGGGCAAGGAGAAGAAACTATGTTTGGCGTGTCAATCGTCCGTCCCCAAAGCGACCTCCACGATCCCGAGCCTTGAAAATCACTTTTCTAAGCTCTCCAATGATGTCCTTGCCCTCCAATTTGGCCAAAAAGGCAAACTTCCATAAAACCTCTTCAAAACTCCCCCCTTTCGGCTGCTGCACAACCCTATTTTTATGAAAAGTTGTCACGGCAGCGCCGTGGCGCTATATACAGGGCCATGGCGCTACACTATTCACAAACGCGAAATTTAATCTTTGGAGTGCTGCGGTGCTCTAGGGTAGCGTCGTGGCGCTATCTCCTCGGGTTTTTAGCTCCAAATCTTGTTGTTATTCCATCTTGGTCACTTTGATTCCGATTTTTCTCTCATTTTAATCAAAATATGTCTCGTTTCCTCCCGATGCTTTATTCCTGCAAAATATATCTTATGTGCTTAAATTTGTCATGAAGAAACGAAAACTAACAAATAATTTCAATATAAATCTCATGAAATGTAGCTCACGAATTGTGTTATCAGGTGCTTCATCACCGTATATCTTCTTGAGGAACTCGAGGAACTCACATGTGGCACGTTGAGTACCCAAAAAAAAACTCGTACTTGTGCCTAAGCTCATTATATTGCTCCCTAGTTACCACTCCTCTGATATTGGGATCCGCAGTGGTAACAGGACAATCTTCCTCTCAAACAATGGAATACCCCCGAACTTTTCTTAGGGATGTGACCGGCTTCTTGGGCGTCACAATATTGGCATCATCGGCCTCCACTCCCGCCTGCTAGCATAACTCAGTTGTTAGTCCAGGAAAAACTAGAGATCCTACCATTTTCTCCGAACAACTCCGTATCTCATATCTTATGAGCTCCCCAAAGTTGAACTTAATGCCTTTCATTAGGATGTACACCATCATTGCCCTATTGCGCTTAATGGAGGAATCGTGAGAAGTGGGGATCAACCGATTCTTCACCACATACGTCTAAACTGTCGCTTGCTCATTCATGTCAAGGGGCTTTAAGGAAAGCTTCCCCGTGGTTGAAACGGTCCAAGTCTTGTGTGGTCTACAAATAAGCCTACACGCCTCCTCCACTTGCTCGTCCGATGGATGCACCAAAATTTCATTACCTATGACATTAAAAACATCCAACAAACCATAGTGAGTATTAATAATGGAAGGAGAGAATTTTACTACTTTACCTCGTATTCTCACTACATCCCTTCGATTTATTGATGATAGTGTAAAACTCTTTCACCAAGGCCTCGGATACACGCGTAGTTGGGGCAAACAACGACTCCCAACCATTCTCCATAAGCCTTCTATTAACCTATTCCGGCACGGGCTCTTGCGCTTCAACAAAGCCCCTCTCAAGGAGGATATCATGTGCTGTGAAGTTGGGCCTTCGCACCTCCAATCTCACCCTTTTTACTCTTGATAGTGTTTGTTCGGTAGAATTGGGCTCTTCTTCATTGGCCTCCTTAAGTGGCTCTTCTGCCCCTCTTTGCACCTTAGCCCTCTTGGCTTTTTTAGATGGACCAGCCTCGGCCTCTTTTTGGGCAGCCAAACATGCTGCGGCTCGGGTCATAGGCCCAAGCGCAATTTCTGCCACTTTTTTCTTCTTTGTGTTTTCTTCACTACTTCGGCCAAGCTCACCTCCTCATCTGAAGTCTCTGCAGTAGCAACAAAGTTTGGGTCAGAAACATTCAAACTCGACAAAGAAGGGGTCTTACCTTGTCAAGAAGAGGAAGATGATTCCTCCATGACCTCACTAGGGACACCCACAGGACCGGATGTTCCTTCTTGCACTTGTACAGGGGGCTCTTTATCATCTTGCTGAGATTCGTGCATTGGAGTTCGTACTCTCACTTCATATTGAGATATATCGTCATTTTCTTCTTCCTCTTCAAACTCATCTCCATGCACTTCTTGGGATAATTCTCCAAGATCTTCATCCTCTCTATCAACATTCAATTGTCCTTGCACTGCCCCACTGTTTCCATCATCCTCTAATGGATCTTCTCCCCTTGCTTCATTCAACGCCACCAAAATTCCGGCAATTTTCTGCGTTGTCCTTTCCTGTTCTGAATCATAAAAAACTAGGGGCTTTTTAGTCAAGATATGACCTAGAAAAGATGGAGACAAAATACCTTGTAGAGTGGCTGGTGGAGTCTCATCCAAAATTGCGCCAGGCGCAATTTGGCACTGAATTTCAATCGTGGCCGGATCTGAATGCTCAAAGGGCTCCATGTCGTGTTCAGAGTCCCCACTAACCTGTTCTTTACCTTCAACATGCATAGCAACCGTAGTGGAAAGAGGAGAAGGGATAGACAGTTCTAAATACTCGGAAACAAGGTTATCTTGAGACACATTCATCCTACGACGTATCCTCATGCTATTTAACTCAAGTTGAATCTCATCATTCACTTTCTCTGAGTTTTCCATGAATTTTTGCCATTTTATGCTTAATTCCTCAATTTTCACATAAACTCTCTCATTCTCTTTATCCCTAATTTCGTTATTTTTACTAAACATCTCCGCTCTCTCATGAAGCCAGCTATTTCTTCATCTAAAATAGCACCTTTTTCCTTTAGAGATTGATTTTTTCGAAGATAGACTTTACTAACACCTCCTAATTTCTTCTCACTATAACCTTCTTTATTAACCCTAGCATCCTTAGATTCCATATTAATTTTTTCAGAATTTGTACCACATATGGATAGATTTCTCCTAAGGTTTATTCTTATAGCTTCCTCATATTTTCTTCTTTGTTCCCTAGAATAAAAAACTAATTTTTCATGAGAAATCCTATGAGGTTCAAGAGGAATCATACCCGATTTGGTTGGTGGAGGCAACAACACTCTCTTTTACTCATACTCTTTGTCATGTGGCTTGGAAGTAGATGAACCTTCCATGGTTCTTGAGTTTGCTTCACGATCGACAACGAAAATTCCTCCAATAAACCCTAAATGTGCCGAAAAGGAGAGAGATGAGAGAGACTTTGAGATTCTTTGAGTTTATTGAGAGAAGATTTGAAAACAAGTGAGAAAATATTGGTGAAAATCGTGAATGGGGTGTTTTCAAATCCTAGGGCTTTTTGTTTTATGTTTTAAAACATATTAAAAACATAATTGGGTTAAAAATTGAGCCTCTTTTTTATTTAAAAACAAGTCAAAGCCCATTTAAACATAACCCACATGAAGCCCACGAAAGCCCTAATCCATAACTCAAAAATCGATTTTTTTTGTCTTAAATTGCGTTTGGTGCAATGTTGACGAAGGTCGGATCTTGATCCTGCAAAATTCAAATGCAAAAACAAAATTAGATTTGGAATCTACACAAAAAAAACCTTAAAGAAAATGTAAAAATTTCGCAAAAAGAAGTCAAAAAAATATTTTTCATAAAACCGCCCCTCAAACTGTCCGAGGGACTGTTTCCACTGTTTTCTCACGAGTCTTTCAGTAATACAGAGGTTTTACCTCCATCAATATACTCATCATAATATTCATTGACCCGATGTCCATTTACCTTAAAGATATTACCTTTGGAACCCTTTAAATCCACCGCTCCATGTCCATAAACATGTTCAACTACGAATGGGCCCGACCATCTAGACTTAAGCTTACCTGGAAACAATTTTAATCTAGAGTTAAATAGCAAAAGTAAGTTTTCAGGTTCTAAATTCTTGTCCATTATCTTTTTATCATGCCACTTTTTAGTTTGTTCTTTATACATCTTGCCATTCTCATAAGAAAACTGACGAAATTCATCCAACTCAGGTAATTGGAGCAATCTCGCTTCACCTGCAGCAACATAATCAAAATTTAGTTTCCGCGTAGCCCAATATGCTCTATGTTCTAGCTCTAATGGAAAATGACATGCTTTACCAAAAACAATGCGATATGGGGACATGCCTAACGGAGTTTTATATGCAGTTTTATAAGCCTACAAAGCATCATCAAGTTGAATAGCCCAGTCCTTCCTATTCACATTCACAGACTAGTCTAAAATTGACTTTATTGCCCTATTTGATACCTCCGCTAGTCCATTAGTTTGAGGGTGATATGCAGTAGCAATCTTATGGTGAATGTTATACTTTTTAAGCAAATTACTTACTACCCAATTCAAAAAGTGCGTACCCTTGATTACGATTGTTTACATGCGTAAAAAGAAGGTTTTAGATGCTGTTTTTACTATGTTTCAGCTTTGTTTCGGATTTTTCTCGATCGTTTGAGTTCCAATTCATGCAAAATTCATATA